GTCGGTTATCCGAAAGAATTCCAGTCGGCAAATTTAAATTTTCGCTAGTGCTGTGGCGCTGCAATCTTTGGCTATATCTTGGGCTACTCCAATATTTTTTTTGTTGGTGTGTGTTTTTTAGTTGGCAGCACTGGCACATTTGTGTGGTGTTTTTCTGAGGACTGTGTGTCGTGCTGAATCGAACGTTTTTGATACTAGATCATCTTCTAAAGTATATATTTTTTGGTTTTTATATTTTTCAATATATTTATTTTGTTTGTAAGAAATAAAGAAATAATTTTTAATGATACAATAGCCACAATTATTATTTTAAAAAGTTTACGTTAGGCTTGAACGTTACGTTGAATTTTCGTTGATGTTAAGCATCAACGAAAATTCAACGTGAAGTGACATGCAACGGAGAAAAATTTCAATAAGGGTTAGGTTAATATATTTTTTCGTACATAATCGGTTATCTGAAAAATAAGTTATCCGAACAACCCCAGTCCCCAATTGATTTGGATAAACGACGCTCTACTGTATCATTGTAAAAGATAAAGATCACATATATTTAACGTTACTACAGTTAATTTAAGATAATGCAACTTTTTAAATTATTTTTACAATTTTATCACTTTCGCAACTATTATAACAGAGGAAAAGTATAATGATCTGGGAAAAAATGACCCCCCTGATTTTAACATTTTTGGATATAGGAGACTTTGAAATAGTGAGAAATGCAAAAAAAATTCTGGGGTAATTTCTGTATTTATTTATTTATTTATTTATATATGTATGTATGGATGGATGTTAGTGTGTGTTTGTGGTTTTGTTCATCTTCTTTGAAGCTTAATAACTCCTGTGCTTTTTGTCAAAAATTTTTGAAATTTTTCAGGGAGGTTTATGTATTAGGGGGTTTATGTATCTGCTATTAAATTTTGGTGGTTAAAGATTGATGGGATGGAGAGATAAAGGGGGTTGTGTGTCATATCTTGAGTAGGGCTGGACTTAGTTGCCCGCCAAGTTATGGATGAGTGAACAAGTGCATATATAGTCTTAGATTAGAATAAAGCTTAATCATAAGTTAAAGGACTGCCTCATGATTGTTCTAACAAAAAGTCATGTAGTTAAATTAAGAGAATAGCAGAATAACAATTCTAGCTTTAAAAGGAGTATGGTATAGAAACATCATCAATAATATCATTAATAGAACTCATACAAGAGAAATCAAAAAAATTTTGTGATTCTCAAAAGCTAATTTTTTCTAAATGTTTTTTGAATTGAAGAAATTGTTGGAGAAATATTGAAGCTAAGGGTTACAATTTTGAAAAACATTAAACAAAATTTCTTTATATCATAATAGATTTTGATTTTTTTTTATATATCCATTCTTGAACATATAAATGTTTTAACATAATTAATTACAAGTATAAATTATTAATATAGATATAATTTTTATTTAAAATTGTGTGATAGAATAGAGATTAAAATAAAACATTTTTATTTTCAGAAAATATTGATCCAAAGAATTAAGATTAAAATAGAATGAAGAAAAATTTAATTTAAAAATGGCTCACCAAAAACTTATTTCGTATCAAATAGATGACTATTATGAATTTATCTGTGGATGGGGAGCAGCATTTATCAATATAACTTTAACATTTCCAGTAAATAAAGTTATGTTTAGACAAATGAGAGATGGAGTTGCAACTTCCAAGGCAATTCAACAATTAAAACATGAAGGTTTTCATTATTTATATAGAGGAATCTTACCACCATTGATTCAAAAAACAATTTCAGTTTCTATTATGTTTGGAACTTACAGTCAATATGGATATATGTTAGAAAAAACTTTTCCATCTATTCCTAAACCAATTTGTTTAGGAATTGCAGCAACATTAGCAGGCAATACTGAAGCATTATTAACTCCATTTGAAAGAATACAAACTTTAATGCAAGACAGAAATTATCATACCAAATTTAGAAATACATTTCATGCTTGCATGGAATTACAGAAGTTTGGAATCAAAGAATTTTATCGAGGTTTAGTGCCAATTTTATTAAGGAATGGTCCCAGTAACGTAATGTTTTTTGGATTACGTAGTTCAGTAAAAGATAATCTTCCAAAGACTTCTTATTGGTGGGAAGAACTGCTAACTGATTTTATAAGTGGTGCTGCTGTTGGTTCTATAATCAGCACTGTTTTTTATCCAGTGAATGTTATAAAAACAAAAATGCAAGTTTGTTATGGAACACCTTACATTGGTATAGTGGAGGCATTTAGATTAACTTATGCTGAAAGAGGATATAGTTTTCGAAAATTATTCTATGGAGTTCATATAAATTATACTCGTGCCTTGTTGTCTTGGGGTATAATTAATGCCTCTTATGAATTACTTAAAAGGACATTTTTTCCTCACGTATGAAAATTAATAAATACTAAAATATTAATTATTAGTTTGTAAATTTGTTAATTTATGAATAGGAATAAATTTTATAGATATAGATATAGATATAGATATATATATATATATGCATAGAAGAGTAATATAAATTTGATGCTAAACACTATTTTATAATAAGATGATTTCTATTATAACATGAATATTATAGTAAGAAATTTTATATCAATTTAAATGAAAAAACAGTCATGCTTCTGCTTAATTTAGAAAAATTAGATTGTGCAGATCCATTACTTCATATAAATTAATTTTTTCCAATCTATTTAATGTTTTGTGGATAAAATTAAATTTTGAAATACTTAATATTAAAATTAACTTCTTGATTTAAACTTATTTAAATTATTTATATAGAATAGTGTCTTTAAAATATTGGATTTAAAACATGTTGTAAATTTTTTTGTTTCATTATTTATTATACATAAATTCTAATGATCACTTATTTTTGTGTGTGAATACAGTAAAGCATTGAAAATCCAGTATGTCAGAACTCTGGATTCTGCCATTGAAAAATGGATATTAATCCTTTCAATGGCAACTCTGTTGTTAATGTTCTTTCAGCCCTGTACTGTTGATGGCCGAACATTCATTCAAATTCATAAATTTTTCTAGTTTTGAAACTATGATTAGTGTATTTTTTGTTTAAATATGGTGATTCTGTAAATTATATTTTAAATTTTTGTAAGTATTCCAAAATTCTTTATGAAATACCAGCTTAAATTTAGAATCCCTAAACATGAATTTCAGTGTGTTTGGAATTTACAGTATTTAAAATGCTAATTTACATGTACATTTGAAAATTTGGATAGTCTGGATTTTTGATACTTCAGTATTTTATGTATTTAGTATTTATATAATATGAAAATTTTTTTTATGTATAAAGAAACAAAACATTACAGGTAATAATTGGAATTATTTTCAAATTATTTTAAAGAACTGAAATATATAAAAATTTTATAATTAACTCAAAAATAATTATTTATTCAAAGTAGTGGATTATAGTGAATAAAAATTCTTTCAGAAGAATTTTCTTATATTAAATATTGTTAACCTGACTTTGATTGCTTATGATTCTAATCACATGGAATGACAGTTGTTAGAATTTAAATATTAACTTTAGAACAAGACATTCCTGATTTTTATTTGTTTTGAAAGTTAAATATCTATTGCATTTCATTCACTATAAACTACTATTAAGAAGGCAGTGTTTTAACTCCAATGAAATGTTTTTTCAAGACTACTTATCTATCATCTTCAGATGAAAGCATCACTTGTGATCTGAAGATGAGAGACAAAATAATCTTGAAAATCGTTTTTTTAGGTTTAAAGAAAAGCGTTCCTAACATATAGTGATGTACTGAATGAAATAAAAAGTATGGAGTTGAAGATAAGTAAAAGTTAACTAGATATTTAAACTTAAGCAATCTATTATATTTTTGTTAAACATAGTCAGTGAGAAGAAATATCATTATTTGTTTTAGATGTATTTTTTCTTTAAATTATTCTGATATTCTTCAAATGAATATTTTCTCTTCTTTATTGAATATACCAAAATTTTTCTTTTATGATGAGTCATTTAACTGTTCTAATTTTTCATAATACAAATTTGTTCTAAAAATCTTACTTTTTATACTCTTCAAATATTCCAAATGTAGCTTTTATATTATAATGATAAAAATCTTAATATTTTTAAGATACAGTTTAGTATCAAATTTGTATTATTAATTTATTGCTGTATATGATACATTATAAATAGTAAAATAATGCCTTGTTTAGTGTTTAGGTTTTTCTATAAAGATAGTAATTAAAAACTATATAATTGTTACAGTAATAAATGTGTAAATGTTAAAGTTTCAAATTATAATGTAAATTTAAAAATAAATACAGTATATATATATCATTTCTAAATTTTGTAACATTCATCAAAATTTAAAAATGCTTTGGTTTTTTTTTTATTATAGGATTTATAGAATTTTCTAGAATAATATCTATGTAAATATAATATATAGTTTATGCTTTTTTTTATAAAGATATTAATAAATGATGATATAAGTTCATTGCATTTGAAACTCTGTTTAGAAATTTTTTTTAAAGGTACGCACACTTTTTTAAAAGGGACTTTCAGGAAGAAATTGAATGATATTAATAGTAACTATAGTTTGGAAGAATTTTTATAAGAATAAAAGACATGAATAACGTTTTTAAAAGTATAATTAATAGAGAAATACTATAAAATTATCAATATGTATGAATTTTTAAAGAACGGCAAAGATTATCCCCAAATTTAAGATGCACTCAAATTTTAAATTTGGAAAAACATGGAGAAAAGTGTATTATATTTAAATTAATAACTTTAAATGTATAAAATGTTTTCATGTTAATGTACTTTATTAAAATGTTAATTTATGTTAACAAGCTTATAGTTTAACTTACAAGTTAGTCATTAATGTAATTAATTCACTTAACAGAATTTATTACTCTCCAACTAATACAATGTACTTTTTTAAATTTGTAGTATATGCAAATTTTTTCAAAACATTGTGTAAAATAATTATTTTCTAAGTTGTTTGAAAATAGAAATTGTGTAAGTGGTAATATAATAAATCATTTCCACGTTAAGAAACATTAAAGTGCCATACTGACATTAAATTTGACCATTGTTTATGTAATAGAAATTTGAATATAATTTTTGTATGATAAAATGTATTTTAGTATTTTATATTGAAAAGGATCTTGTTTATTTACAATGTTTTGAATATTTTTAGTATAATTTCTATTAGCAAATTTTGAAAATAAATTATACTTACAAAATTTAATGGACATTTATTTATTTATTTAAAATTTTATTTGAGATACATTATTATTTGTGAAGTGTAATATTTCCTCTATATCTGCTGCTTGCAAATATTAATTAAAAATTCATAAATTTTGTATATCTTCGCTTGCTTGGGTAATGTTAGGTACAGTACCTAATTTATATATAATTTATATAATACTGTCCAGACGATAGAAATCTCTCTGTAGCGTGGCGCTACGGATGGCGGGAAAGTAGTTTGGCTGCCCGATGACATTTAACGTAATTATAGGGGGTTTTTACTGTTTTTTACGGATACCGTCACAATTTTTTCGCAGTTTTATAGGAATCGTAATTATTGGGACCGTAATTATAGGGGGGTCGACTGTATTTTGTTTGAATTGATTTATTCAGCAACATAAATGATTTCTTTGTCAGCGTATTTAAGCGTCAGCTCATTGCATCAATTTTTTCTTAAATTTTTATAACAATCATGTTTAATAGGAGGAATGAAAACATTTATTTTCAGTTTTATCCATCTTGATATAATGGGTATAACTTTTCTTTTTTTCCGTATTTTGAAATCATGTTGTATCTTTATATTTGTTTTTCAAAACCACAATGCAGCATAATAATCAACACTTGGCATAACTCATTCATTTATTTCAGCTTTTGTTGATTGTCAACAAAAGCTGAAATAAATAAATGAATGAGTTATGCCAAGTGTTGATTATTACGCTGCATTTTCTTTTTTTCTAAAAACAATTGTCACCAAAATTGAAACAATCATTCATATTCCAATCATCAATATTCCATAAGTATACTTAGTTACAGTCCAACTGCTGCAGAAATAACTAATTTCTTTTACTTACTTTTTTGTGTTGAGATAACATTAAATAATTTATCATTATCTATAAAACACTGGTCAGTACACACTGCAGCATTGCAATCACAGTGTGCGCTGGTGGATTAACATTACAATATGGAGTTAATTGTAAACCTGATGAAGACCGATATTTAAGGTCGAAAACATTTGTTATCTGATTAAATATTTTTACTGGATAATCAAAGGTATTAGCGAGTCATTTGGAGTTAATTATATTGGCTTCTGAAATAAACAGGGCTGCGGAGTCGGAGTCGTGGAGTTTTGGTGTTTTAGTCGGAGTCGTCAAAAAATCCGCCGACTCCGACTCCCTTTTTACTTACCAACTTGTTATGTATATGAAACGGAGTCGGAGTCGGAGTCGGAGTCGTCAAAAAATCCGCCGACTCCAACTCCCTTTTTACTTACCAACTTGTTATGTATATGAAACGGAGTCGGATGGTAAGGAAAAGTTGGAGTCGGATGGTAAAGAAAAGTCGGAGTCAGAGTTGGAGTCGGTAGATTTTTACGTGACTCCACAGCCCTGGAAATAAATAAATAGATTTTTTTCCATGGCCAGTAAAATTTTGTCATTAATTAAGTGGTATTGATCCTTATTATTAGGAAACTTATTATGAATATAAAAAGTTACAAGTATATCAAGTGCTTTCACACTAAAATTTAAAAAAATTCAAAATGTGGCGTTAATAGATTTGGCTTGTGAATGGCTCATATATTAATTAGATGCCAGTTTCATTTTACATTTTATCAGTTTTCACTAACTGTGAAATTTATATCATAATAAAAATACAGTAGAGCGTCGGTTATCCGAAAGCATTCCACTCAGCAATTTTAAATTTTTGCTAGTGCTGTGGCGCTGCAATCTTTGGCTATATCTTGGGCTACTCCAATATTTTTTTTGTTGGTGTGTGTTTTTTAGTTGGCAGCACTGGCACATTTGTGTGGTGTTTTTCTGAGGACTGTGTGTCGTGCTGAATCGAACGTTTTTGATACTAGATCATCTTCTAAAGTATATATTTTTTGGTTTTTATATTTTTCAATATATTTATTTTGTTTGTAAGAAATAAAGAAATAATTTTTAATGATACAATAGCCACAATTATTATTTTAAAAAGTTTACGTTAGGNTGTATAAAGAAACAAAACATTACAGGTAATAATTGGAATTATTTTCAAATTATTTTAAAGAACTGAAATATATAAAAATTTTATAATTAACTCAAAAATAATTATTTATTCAAAGTAGTGGATTATAGTGAATAAAAATTCTTTCAGAAGAATTTTCTTATATTAAATATTGTTAACCTGACTTTGATTGCTTATGATTCTAATCACATGGAATGACAGTTGTTAGAATTTAAATATTAACTTTAGAACAAGACATTCCTGATTTTTATTTGTTTTGAAAGTTAAATATCTATTGCATTTCATTCACTATAAACTACTATTAAGAAGGCAGTGTTTTAACTCCAATGAAATGTTTTTTCAAGACTACTTATCTATCATCTTCAGATGAAAGCATCACTTGTGATCTGAAGATGAGAGACAAAATAATCTTGAAAATCGTTTTTTTAGGTTTAAAGAAAAGCGTTCCTAACATATAGTGATGTACTGAATGAAATAAAAAGTATGGAGTTGAAGATAAGTAAAAGTTAACTAGATATTTAAACTTAAGCAATCTATTATATTTTTGTTAAACATAGTCAGTGAGAAGAAATATCATTATTTGTTTTAGATGTATTTTTTCTTTAAATTATTCTGATATTCTTCAAATGAATATTTTCTCTTCTTTATTGAATATACCAAAATTTTTCTTTTATGATGAGTCATTTAACTGTTCTAATTTTTCATAATACAAATTTGTTCTAAAAATCTTACTTTTTATACTCTTCAAATATTCCAAATGTAGCTTTTATATTATAATGATAAAAATCTTAATATTTTTAAGATACAGTTTAGTATCTATTTAAAATTGTGTGATAGAATAGAGATTAAAATAAAACATTTTTATTTTCAGAAAATATTGATCCAAAGAATTAAGATTAAAATAGAATGAAGAAAAATTTAATTTAAAAATGGCTCACCAAAAACTTATTTCGTATCAAATAGATGACTATTATGAATTTATCTGTGGATGGGGAGCAGCATTTATCAATATAACTTTAACATTTCCAGTAAATAAAGTTATGTTTAGACAAATGAGAGATGGAGTTGCAACTTCCAAGGCAATTCAACAATTAAAACATGAAGGTTTTCATTATTTATATAGAGGAATCTTACCACCATTGATTCAAAAAACAATTTCAGTTTCTATTATGTTTGGAACTTACAGTCAATATGGATATATGTTAGAAAAAACTTTTCCATCTATTCCTAAACCAATTTGTTTAGGAATTGCAGCAACATTAGCAGGCAATACTGAAGCATTATTAACTCCATTTGAAAGAATACAAACTTTAATGCAAGACAGAAATTATCATACCAAATTTAGAAATACATTTCATGCTTGCATGGAATTACAGAAGTTTGGAATCAAAGAATTTTATCGAGGTTTAGTGCCAATTTTATTAAGGAATGGTCCCAGTAACGTAATGTTTTTTGGATTACGTAGTTCAGTAAAAGATAATCTTCCAAAGACTTCTTATTGGTGGGGAGAACTGCTAACTGATTTTATAAGTGGTGCTGTTGTTGGTTCTATAATCAGCACTGTTTTTTATCCAGTGAATGTTATAAAAACAAAAATGCAAGTTTGTTATGGAACACCTTACATTGGTATAGTGGAGGCATTTAGATTAACTTATGCTGAAAGAGGATATAGTTTTCGAAAATTATTCTATGGAGTTCATATAAATTATACTCGTGCCTTGTTGTCTTGGGGTATAATTAATGCCTCTTATGAATTACTTAAAAGGACATTTTTTCCTCACGTATGAAAATTAATAAATACTAAAATATTAATTATTAGTTTGTAAATTTGTTAATTTATGAATAGGAATAAATTTTATAGATATAGATATAGATATAGATATATATATATATATGCATAGAAGAGTAATATAAATTTGATGCTAAACACTATTTTATAATAAGATGATTTCTATTATAACATGAATATTATAGTAAGAAATTTTATATCAATTTAAATGAAAAAACAGTCATGCTTCTGCTTAATTTAGAAAAATTAGATTGTGCAGATCCATTACTTCATATAAATTAATTTTTTCCAATCTATTTAATGTTTTGTGGATAAAATTAAATTTTGAAATACTTAATATTAAAATTAACTTCTTGATTTAAACTTATTTAAATTATTTATATAGAATAGTGTCTTTAAAATATTGGATTTAAAACATGTTGTAAATTTTTTTGTTTCATTATTTATTATACATAAATTCTAATGATCACTTATTTTTGTGTGTGAATACAGTAAAGCATTGAAAATCCAGTATGTCAGAACTCTGGATTCTGCCATTGAAAAATGGATATTAATCCTTTCAATGGCAACTCTGTTGTTAATGTTCTTTCAGCCCTGTACTGTTGATGGCCGAACATTCATTCAAATTCATAAATTTTTCTAGTTTTGAAACTATGATTAGTGTATTTTTTGTTTAAATATGGTGATTCTGTAAATTATATTTTAAATTTTTGTAAGTATTCCAAAATTCTTTATGAAATACCAGCTTAAATTTAGAATCCCTAAACATGAATTTCAGTGTGTTTGGAATTTACAGTATTTAAAATGCTAATTTACATGTACATTTGAAAATTTGGATAGTCTGGATTTTTGATACTTCAGTATTTTATGTATTTAGTATTTATATAATATGAAAATTTTTTTTATGTATAAAGAAACAAAACATTACAGGTAATAATTGGAATTATTTTCAAATTATTTTAAAGAACTGAAATATATAAAAATTTTATAATTAACTCAAAAATAATTATTTATTCAAAGTAGTGGATTATAGTGAATAAAAATTCTTTCAGAAGAATTTTCTTATATTAAATATTGTTAACCTGACTTTGATTGCTTATGATTCTAATCACATGGAATGACAGTTGTTAGAATTTAAATATTAACTTTAGAACAAGACATTCCTGATTTTTATTTGTTTTGAAAGTTAAATATCTATTGCATTTCATTCACTATAAACTACTATTAAGAAGGCAGTGTTTTAACTCCAATGAAATGTTTTTTCAAGACTACTTATCTATCATCTTCAGATGAAAGCATCACTTGTGATCTGAAGATGAGAGACAAAATAATCTTGAAAATCGTTTTTTTAGGTTTAAAGAAAAGCGTTCCTAACATATAGTGATGTACTGAATGAAATAAAAAGTATGGAGTTGAAGATAAGTAAAAGTTAACTAGATATTTAAACTTAAGCAATCTATTATATTTTTGTTAAACATAGTCAGTGAGAAGAAATATCATTATTTGTTTTAGATGTATTTTTTCTTTAAATTATTCTGATATTCTTCAAATGAATATTTTCTCTTCTTTATTGAATATACCAAAATTTTTCTTTTATGATGAGTCATTTAACTGTTCTAATTTTTCATAATACAAATTTGTTCTAAAAATCTTACTTTTTATACTCTTCAAATATTCCAAATGTAGCTTTTATATTATAATGATAAAAATCTTAATATTTTTAAGATACAGTTTAGTATCAAATTTGTATTATTAATTTATTGCTGTATATGATACATTATAAATAGTAAAATAATGCCTTGTTTAGTGTTTAGGTTTTTCTATAAAGATAGTAATTAAAAACTATATAATTGTTACAGTAATAAATGTGTAAATGTTAAAGTTTCAAATTATAATGTAAATTTAAAAATAAATACAGTATATATATATCATTTCTAAATTTTGTAACATTCATCAAAATTTAAAAATGCTTTGGTTTTTTTTTTATTATAGGATTTATAGAATTTTCTAGAATAATATCTATGTAAATATAATATATAGTTTATGCTTTTTTTTATAAAGATATTAATAAATGATGATATAAGTTCATTGCATTTGAAACTCTGTTTAGAAATTTTTTTTAAAGGTGCGCACACTTTTTTAAAAGGGACTTTCAGGAAGAAATTGAATGATATTAATAGTAACTATAGTTTGGAAGAATTTTTATAAGAATAAAAGACATGAATAACGTTTTTAAAAGTATAATTAATAGAGAAATACTATAAAATTATCAATATGTATGAATTTTTAAAGAACGGCAAAGATTATCCCCAAATTTAAGATGCACTCAAATTTTAAATTTGGAAAAACATGGAGAAAAGTGTATTATATTTAAATTAATAACTTTAAATGTATAAAATGTTTTCATGTTAATGTACTTTATTAAAATGTTAATTTATGTTAACAAGCTTATAGTTTAACTTACAAGTTAGTCATTAATGTAATTAATTCACTTAACAGAATTTATTACTCTCCAACTAATACAATGTACTTTTTTAAATTTGTAGTATATGCAAATTTTTTCAAAACATTGTGTAAAATAATTATTTTCTAAGTTGTTTGAAAATAGAAATTGTGTAAGTGGTAATATAATAAATCATTTCCACGTTAAGAAACATTAAAGTGCCATACTGACATTAAATTTGACCATTGTTTATGTAATAGAAATTTGAATATAATTTTTGTATGATAAAATGTATTTTAGTATTTTATATTGAAAAGGATCTTGTTTATTTACAATGTTTTGAATATTTTTAGTATAATTTCTATTAGCAAATTTTGAAAATAAATTATACTTACAAAATTTAATGGACATTTATNGGATCTTGTTTATTTACAATGTTTTGAATATTTTTAGTATAATTTCTATTAGCAAATTTTGAAAATAAATTATACTTACAAAATTTAATGGACATTTATTTATTTATTTAAAATTTTATTTGAGATACATTATTATTTGTGAAGTGTAATATTTCCTCCTCTATATCTGCTGCTTGCAAATATTAATTAAAAATTCATAAATTTTGTATATCTTCGCTTGCTTGGGTAATGTTAGAAATAATCCCTTCACAAACTATTTTCCCAGTTTTCCGCTCAGTTAGCCACACTAGATTATCCATGATGTAAACAATATCCACAATTGTGGTATTGCTATAAAATATAGTACAGTGCATTACATAACTTATTTTGCTTATTATGACCACAAAGTGCAAAAGTAATAACACTGGCAATTCTGCCAAGCCTACAAGAAGCTATGAAGTCCTTCCTTTGAGATTAAAAAATCTTGATTTAATATTGAAAGAAAAGAAAAGTTGTATGCTGAAGTTACAAGATTGTACACAAGAACAAATCATCTATTCATGAAGTGATAAAAAAAAAAAAAAAAAGAAATTTGAACTAATGTTGCTTGTAGTGCTCCTAAACTTGTTAAAGTTATGTTCATAGTGCATGTTAAGTACTTTGTGAAAATAGAAAATGGGTTTCAGTTGAAAGTAACATGTTGTGTTAGAAAGTATACTCAGTCTAATGTGAGTTAAGTGTTGATTTTGAATAATTAAACAGTTAGAGTTCCTAATTTCTTGTTTAGTTTAATACATCCTATCAAAATTAATCTTTTTTTTTTGCCACTTTATAGTAATTAAAAATATAAAAACTTTTTATATAAGAAAATCTGATAAGAAGTGGCACTACACACAATTTTGTTTTTTGAATTAAAATCATGTCATTTCTGCTATAGATCACAAGTTTGTATATAATTAATCGGGGCTTCCTCATCTATCTAATGGAGGATGGATGACAGTGGGAATTTATGGGTCCACAAATTGCAGTCCAACTAGATTGCAAGAACAAATCTGTCAATGCCTGAAGAAATGTTAATTATCTTAATGACATTATTAATTCTTGCTGTCTTCATTATTTATTTATAGTAATAAACTAATTTTTTATAAAATTATTTTTAATCAATTTCTTTTTATGATTTTGGAAAGAGCATATCTATTTGATTGGTAAGTGTTTAATAAACTCGTACTTACAAGTTAGTTGAAGTCTCTGCAGATATATAATTTGAAATTTTATATGAAAATACAAACTTGTCTTTTTTCTATAAAGTGATCACTTTAACAGGTGGCATTTCATGAAAACCAGATTAACAGGGTGGTTGCATTACACAATAAGCAGGTGATTGCTATACAGAGAAAAAAATATACCTAAAATCTATCCAGTAAATTTCAGGCCAAATAAAACTGGTCACTATAGGAAGATGGTCATGTCACGGACATGGTCAGATTGGCATGTTCCACTTAAATTATAGTATATATATATATAAATTTTTTACACACACACACACAGTGGAACCTACCAATGTGACCATGTCGGTGACATGACCACCTTCCTATAGTGACCAGTTTTATACATATATATATAAATACTTTTTATTAGTGATGTAACGAATATTCGGTTACTATTCGATATTCGGCCGAATACCTAAAAACAGGTGTAAGAAATAACAAAAACACAGTAAATTAATCATTTTGGTATTTAGATTTAATGTTATCGGGTTAGTGTTGGTTGTTTATATTTATTTATAACTTATAACATGTACAAAATAAAAAAGAACATAATATTAGTCACATGTATTCACAATTTATAATTACAAAGATCAGCACACGTACACATCTATTCGTTCGAAAATCATCGCACATCTGAGGGTCTGACCCTGCCTATCCTTCTTTTTAAGCGCTCGTCTTTGCTCTTCCCTTTCTCTTTCCTCTATCGCTCTAATCCATGTATGCCTGTGCATACATCATAATACGCGCTCACGATACTTTCGATTCGTCACTTTTCCGTCGTAGAGTTCCCATTTTACAATTACGTGACTCAGCCTGGTGATAACGGAGAAAAGAGACAGATAGGACGTCGATATAAGTCACAGTTATGATTTCACAGATTCAAGACAGCTTGGTAGCCCGAACGGCCCCAGGCTTTCGCCCGTGCACGCTAAGTGACTTTCATCACAAGCATGTAGCTTTCTGAAGTCTATGACAACAATTGATGGCCGCGAATTTCGCGCCAATAACCTGACTCGACTTGTTCGATTATGTTAACTCAATTTCATATTTATTTTCACATTTTCACTTTGCGGTCCTTCTCTCTTCTTTCTCCGTTATTTACACGTGTAGG